TATTTAAATAATTTTACAGGATGGACTGTATGAAATTTGCCCTATAAAATAGTTGTCTAAAAAACACATTTAGTAAGATAAGAATAAAAACTATTTTTAGGGTGAATATAAATTTAAGAACTAAAAAATCAAAAGAAATATAGTTAAAATATTAAATGTTTTCTAACATGATAAGACAATTTCCATTATCTTTAACAATTAAATAAAATTGAAATAAATGTGAAATATAATAAACATGATGGAAAGAGTTCAAAAAAATAAATAAAACTGAAAAAAATATAAAAATTAATAGATAATTCATTAAATTAATCATTGAAATTGCTGGCAGTAACTATACAGCTATACGTCCTTCCTTCTTTCCCACGTCTTTCATTTTTTCCATCTTATTAATTATCAACCTAGTCTTTCAGGCACCGCGTTATTTGTTGTCCAATTTGACTATTCATTTACTCCAACATATAGACCATCATATACTCTCAAAACCATTTATCTACTTATACATAATTGCAATGGAACATAATAAAAGTTTTTATTTTTATTTTTTTTTTATTTTTTATGTGTGTGTGTGGAATAGACATATTGTAAAAGGGGATATCAAAGGATATACATATATATAGAGGGTACATGTTAGGATATAATAAATATATTTTTTTGTAATTAATTTAAATTAAAAATTATAAAAATTAATATATATTTTAAAATTATTGACATGTAAATAATTTTAATTAATTAATTAATTAAATCAAAATCAACATTTATATTTTTAATAAAAATTAATTATAAAAAAATACATTTATTATACCATTATCCTTTACTTTAGAAAAATCCCTATCTACAAAGGAAACTTACATTAATTGAGTGTAGGGTAGGAAATGCATATTAATTACTCCACTCTAAGCTAATTATTCTAGTTTGACTCTTTATAGAATTTGATTAAATAATTTTATATATTAAATAAATAATAATTAAAATTTTTTTATACATAATTTTTATTCAATATTTTTATTTAAATAAAAAAATTTAATTATTATTAATTTATTATATAAAACAATGACCCTAAAATAGTAACTTAAAAGAAACGGAAGACCATTGACTCGGTGACTCACAAAACATAATTCTCAACTCTGGAATAAAGGCAGTCCTTTGAGTTGCTGGGCAAGAACCACGCGGTTGTGCCTCCTTCGTGCCACCTCACATCTTTCATTTTTTTCCATCTCATTAATTATCAACCCGCCAGTCTCTCAGCCACCGCCTCATTTGTTGTTGAATTTGATTATTCATTTTTTCCAACAAGTAGACCATCGTATATAATTGTGTTCTTTTAACAAGATATAGATTAAAAATATAATTAATATATTGTTATGTTAAATTATTTTTTGATATATTAAATAATAAGTTAAACAAAAAATGGACAGTTCTTTTTTAATCCTCTTTTAAAATTAGATATTTAATATGAAAACTCAAGAACTTAATTACTAAAACTTCCCTTAGAAGATATTTTTATATTTAATTATACTCTTTCAAATATAAATTATTTGACTTTTTTTATATGTGTTTTTAAGTAATTTTTTTCAATATATAAATGATATTATAAGTAATTGAATATCTTTTCTACTTAAATGAAATATTCAATAATTAAGAACTATATATATAATCTCATTTATATACTATAAAAAAGTATCATTTAAAAATACATAAGAAAATTAAACAATTTATATTTTAAAACAAAGGGAGTATAGGAAAATATAAAAACTAATTTTAATTTCATTACTAATCACTAATATTAATGTATTATTTTAAGGATTTGTCTAATTTATATCCTAAAGACACAGACTAAGAAAGCATTAATTGTATTTTTTATATTTAATTTATATAAAAAAATAAAAATGGATTTTAAATTTATCAACTACCCAATTAAAATCATCCAAGTAATATTTGTGTTAAAAATAATATCTTACTTTTACATTTTTTACAAAAATTTATTACAAAATAATGAATTTAATGCACTTTATTACGTGTCATAACAGTACAGATTAAATAAATTTTTATTTTAATCAAATAATTAATTAAATAAAGATTAAATTTTATTTTATTTATATAATTTAATATTAAAAAATATATCAATTATATTTTTAATATATACCCTAATAACTTGTTTGGTTTGATGTGAGGGGAGGGGATGAGCTTCCCTTTGATTTTAATTTCTTTATAATTTTAACACGAAAAAATAAGAGAAGGAAAGGGGAAAGAAATAGATAGATATTGTCGAACTTGTTCGTTTCAATCTTTTGTACTGTAAGTATGTCACCATAGGGTTAGATGGTGAAAAGATCTAAATATTAGGAAGTTTGTCTCTTATTTAATGATGTATATTAGGTGATATTATTGTTACGTTTTTACTTATTAATGTTTTTTATTTTAATTAATTATTATATTTTTTAATTTATTAAAAAAATATATATATAATATAAAAATATAATAAATAATTATATTAAAAAAATTAACATTAACTATTCGTAATGTCACGATAATCATACCCCATTATAACATGAGAAATTTCATGTAAATATTAATAAGAAAATCCATGAATGTCACGTTTTAATAATCTTTTGTACTATCATGTTAATTATTATTTAATCAACCAAAAGGTTTCTTTTCCAAGGATACGTGGCATCTGCTATGACGCTAGCATGATTTTTATGAATAGTTAAATATCAATTTTAGTCCCTTAATTTTAAGATTTTATATAGTTTTTAGCTCTTAATTTTTTATGTACTTTTTTGGTCCTTAATGATGAAAAATAAAAAATTTTAGTCATTTTACCAGTTTATCTATTAAATTTATTTAAATATACACATTTTAATTTCTTAACTTTAAGTTAAGGGACAAAAAAATATACATATATTAGAAGTTGATGGATTAAAAATATGCAGATTCAAATAGATTTATTGGATTAATTGAAGGAAATACTAAAAAAATGTATTTTTTATAATTAAATGACTAAATAAGTGCAGAGAAAATTGAGGGATTAAAATCATGTAAAGCCTTAAAGTTAAGTGACCAAAATTAATATTTAACCTCTGTGAATCAATATCAACAAAAAAAAAAAAAAAAAT